GAGACCTCTTCTATACAATAAATAAAAAAGTTAGCCGGGTGTGGTAGCGCACGCCTGTAATTCCAGCTACTTAGAAGGCTGAGGCGGAAGGATCGCCGGAGCCCAGCAGGTCGAGGCTGCGGTGGCCGGGAGCGGCCACTGCCCTCCAGTCTGGGTGACAGAGTGAGACTCCATCTCAAAAAAAAAAAGAAATATCAATAAGCAAAAACAGACTAAACAATGAAAACAAGACATCAGACTAAATACAGAAATCTTTCAAAGAGATTACTAGCAAATACATTCTAGGACTATACTAATGGTAAAATACTAGGCGCATTCCCAATAAAGTAAAACAATACACCAAAATGTCAACTACTACCTTAATTTAGCATTGCTTTGGAAACACAAGGCAAAACAAATAAGAAAAGGAAATTCAAGGTATAAAAATTGAAAAATAGAAGCTAAGATGATCACTATTTGTAGATGATATTAATTTCATACTTGGAAAACTAAATATGAGAGGTTAGGTATACTATTAATAAGAGAAATCAAAGACCATCATACACACAAACAACAATCTCTCAGGGGAACCACACAAATAATAAAATACCTAGGAATAAACTAAATAAGACATGCTGCCTAAGGCTCTATATAAAGAAACCTTAAGACTCTGCTAAGAAAAACTAAAGAATCTATAAACTGAATGTGATCTTTGCAGGAAAAAAAGAGAGATTTTTATTTTAAAATGAGACAAGTCAACTTTAAAATTCATAGGGAAACTAATCAAGCATAAGTGGCCAGAAACATTTAGAAAAAGAAGACTAAGTGAAAAGTAGAATGCCTGAGTATTAGAACATATTATAAAGCTATCTTGACTAGAACAGTGTGACCCTGGAACAGGACTAAATGATCAGATCAAGGAAAGTGAAAAACAAGTCCAGAAATAAACCCACATATTTATGAGAATGTAAGGTATAAGACTTCATTTCGGCCAGGCTCGGTGGCTCAGCCTGTAACCCCGCGCTTTGGAAGGCTGAGGTGAGTGGATTGCCTGAGTTCGCGGGTTCGAGACCCGCCTGGGCAACTTGGCGAGACCTCATCTCTACAATAAATCAAAAAATTAGCCGGGCATGGTAGCATGTGCCTGTAGTTCAGCTACTTGGAAGGCTGAGGTGGAAGGATCGCCGGAGCCTAGCAGGTTGAGGCTGCGGTGGCTGAGAGCAGCCACTGCACTCCAGTCTGGGCGACAGAGTTGAGACTCCAACTCGAAAAAAAAAAAAAAAAAGAATTCATGACCTGCCTGGGCAACTTGGTGAGACCTCATCTCTACAATAAATAAAAAAAAATTAGCCGGGGGTGGTAGCGCACGCCTATAGTTCCAGCTACTTGGAAGGCGGAGGCGGAAGGATCGCCGGAACCCAGCAGATCGAGGCTGCAGTGGCCGGGAGTGGCCACTGCACTCCAGTCTGGGTGACAGAGTGAGACTCCAACTCAAAAAAAAAAAAAAAAAAACCCACAGGCAGAAGCCTGGGAGTCCCTTATGCAAAGTTCTAGACCAGCAAGCAATTCATTCCTGGGAATTATCACCTGAACACCTAGCGCCTGCAAGCCCTGAGCCAGGGGCTGGGGACCACCGAAAGGTGAACAAGACACATCCCTGCCCTGTAGGCAGCTACAATCAGGTGGGCAAAACAAGGTCAAAAGCAGCGAGGTCTACAGGCATTCAGGGCAGGGAGATTTCCAGCTTGGGCACCGAGAGCGGCGGCTTCATGGACGAGGCAGCACCCGACCCCGGCCGTGGATGGAAAGGGGCGTGGGGAAGGGCACTCCAGGCCTCGGGCAAGCAGATGTGCAGACATGGGACAGGCCCGGAGGCATCGAGTGGGTGCTGGGTCGCCACGGGGTGGGGGGCGGGGGATAGGAGGGAACAGGTGGGCCCTGAGGTCAAAGCGAAGAGTGTAGCGTTATCACTCCGTGCAGGGGTCCTGTGGGTGGGTCAGTAGGGCTTCAGGCCCCCTCCACTGTCCCTCAGAGCCTGGGGCGGGCACTTACCATGCGGATGATGTCTGGGTAGACAGGCTCGATGAGGACACCCCGGGTGCTCCCCACACATTCCACCAGTTCGTTGAGTGCCGCCCGCTTCACCTCCTTCCCCTTGAGGTCGGCCACACAGTCCAAGAAGTCAAACATCACCCCGCACTGGGCCAGCTTCCGGCTCAGCAGGTCATGCAGCTCAGAGGCCGGGACATCTGAGGAGGGAGGGGAGCTGAGCCTAGGCCCTGGTTGCCACAGCTCTGGGCAGGGCTGGACCCTGAGAATCCTTGGGGCTGGTTCTCGAAGCAGCCTCTGCGGCCCACTCTCTCATGTGCCCTCCCACTCCTGGCACGAGGGCAAGCCACTCCTGTCCCATCCTCCATTCTGGGGCGACATGGACTTCTTTTCTTCCCCCTAATCCAGGCTCAGAGTGGGGTGGCCTGGTTTTAAGGCACGATCACAAACCCTGGATGCACGGGCTTCCCACAGGTGCCAGACAGCCACTGCCTCCCTCTCAGTGGTTAAGGGTGGAGGGCTCAGGGCCAGGGGTCTCTAGGGTGGCCAGTTCGGCCCTACTACCCAGGGGTGGGGATGGGGGCTACCTGGTGATCCCAGGGAGCCATGCCAAGTACCCGCTCCAGTCCTTGGCAGTTGGCTGGGCTGATAGCGGCCTCCTGGAGCCCAGGCTGTGGGCCCCACCCTTGGCCCTGGTCTGCCCCCAGAGTGGCGCCACCTTCAGATGGATGCCCCACCCCCAGGGATGACAGGCGGGTAGGGCCATGCGTCAGCAGAGAGGGCCGGGGGTCAGTCCTGATGGGGAGTCTCAAGCCTGGAAGGGGCTGTTCAGACTTCGTCCGATGGCCACTGCCAGCAGCTCCTCACCCCACCCAGCCTGGCCAGTGGCCTCCGGGGCTCAGGTGTCCCGGCAGCCAGCAGCCAGCTCACCTTTGAGCAGGGGCAGTGGCGTGAGCTCTTGCTGGTTGCTCTGATAGCGGAACTGAGAGGAGCTGTGGGAGCGCCGGGGCCGGGCCCTGCGGAGGGAGCGGCGGGAGAAGCCATCCACCTTGTCGGGCGGGGGCACGGGCGACAGCCCCGGGGAGGAGGGGCTGGTGGGGGTGCTGGCAGGGGGCAGCTTCGTCTCCATGGCAGACAGGCGGCAGGTCGAGCCTTCAGAGCCTGGGGGTTCTCTCTGGGCCTGGAAGATGCTGTGAGCGGCTGGGCAGACTAACTTGGGCCCATTCTGTGTCGGGGTGTTGGAGGGGGCACGACCACATCCCTGGGCCCCCCCCCAGGGCCTTCGGCAACTGCCCAGTCCTGGGGGGCAGGCAGGGGAGAAAGGAGGACGGTTCAGGCCTTCCTGAGAGTCGCGAAGAGTCTGGTCAGGGTTCCCACCCTGGGTCTTTGGCAAACGAAGTCAGGGCGGGAAGGTCAGCAAGAAAGAGACAGAGAGAGCCAGTCAGTTCTTTCGGGAGAGACGGGTGCCAGGCTGCAGCTGAGTGCCCGGGTCTTCTTTTCCCTCTGATCCTTGCCCAGACCCTCCAACGGGGGTGCAGCCCCCTCCCATGCTGGACATGTCCCTCCCTTCTCCCGGAATGAAAGGCCCCGGGGTCCAAAATAACGCCTCCCAGGATAGGGCCTGTCCCCCCCACCCCCCGCCACCCCTACTCAGAATGGGGACCCCGTTCCTCATCCCCGGCCCCTTACAGAAGGGAACCGGCCCCTGCCCCGCGAACGCCGGCCACCGGAGACTCCCCCAAGAACGGAGGCCACCCCCTGCCACCCCCCTCCTGGAACCCGACACCCTCCCCCACCTCAGCTCCT